TCTTATTAAAAATGATCAGTATAATAAACATTCATAAATAATTTGGAGTATACGATTTATTTACTTCCAGTGATTTCGAATCACTGTTTTATAAAATAAAACAAAAGCATACTGTAACCTACAAAAATAAAATAAACCAGAGGGCACGCAGTAGAGCGCATACTTCCGCCACAGAGCGCTGATTATATTCGGCTCATAAAAAATACGAAAATGTGTCCATATGTCCGTCCATATCAACGGACATAGACGATTTTTGGCAGGACAATAAGGAATAATATTCCACATATGTCTACCAAGTTTCATCAAAATACGATAATTTTTGACTGAGTTATAGAGCAAAAACTAATTATTTCTAAGTTGGGTCATAGATCAAATGTATACCAAATCCATTCAGCAGTTTCCGAGAAATCTTGCTGACAAGAACACACACACACACACACACAGGGGTGAAAACATAACCTCCGTCACCTTCGATGATGGAGGTAACAAATATTTAGTCTAGCTAAGTTCTATTACATCTTCTATATAATAGGTAACCAATTAGAAAAGAAACCTAATAAGATAACTGTGTACAACACACAGGATGCTAGATTTCTTATAAATACTTATTTGACTTGTGAATAATGCTTTTAAGCAGATTTGAGAGCGACGTTCGCAATGCTATGGACAGTTTAAAACATATCACCACACATGTTATGTTTGTTAATGTTAAGAACGTAATTAAATTGTTATAAGCGTAATTAAGTTTAGAACATACGTATTTGTGCACACTTTCTTAAAGGGAAAAAAATCAGTCTAAAGTTGCTCCATAGTTGGTTTTATTATACGTTTATTACCAAAAAGATCTTAATATGAATTTGTGCAACATAAATTAAATGGGTTTTAGCAATTTTTTACCCAGATTCAAAACTATGTGTTTCTAATCCTCTCTGCCCACTAACTAGTTTGCAAATAAAATCATAAATAATATTCAACGTTAATATTATTCAACCAGTTTACCGTGGAATATTATTTATGATTTTAACTTTATACACGAGTGCCAAAATACGTTTGTTTTTGAATTTCGCGCAAAGCTACACGAGGGCTATCTGCGCTAGCCGTCCCTAATTTAGCAGTGTAAGACTAGAGGGAAGGCAGCTAGTCATGACCACCCACCGCCAACTCTTGGGCTACTCTTTTACCAACGAATAGTGGGATTGACCGTAACATTATAACGCCCCCACGGCTGAAAGGGCGAGCATGTTTGGTGTGACGGGGATTCGAACCCGCGACCCTCAGATTACGAGTCGAGTGCCCTAACCACCTGGCCATGCAGGGCCTCCAAAATACTATAATTAGTTTGCAAATAGTTTTATAAATTGTCAAAAGATGGTGCTGCTATAACCGTATTGACTAACGATGTAAGCATTAATTTTATTTGTTAAAAAAATGTTCATAGTCTATAAAGGGAAGTAACTTAATAATTCCTGTTTTTTTTTTGTTGTCGTTGTTGTTCTATACTTAATCTATAATTTTCTCAAACTAATAATAAATGAACAATTTTAATTTGAAGTTGTTTATTATAATAAATTTCTCAATTTTTTTTATCATAGATTACAACGCTTGAAACCGGGTTTCGATACCCGTGGTGGGAAGAGCATAGATAGCTCATTGTGTAGCTTTGTGCTTAATTTAAACAAACAAACTTTATCATAAAATAATGTAACCTAATAACACGTACTTTTTTAAAATTCTACTAGTGGAAAACCCATTCTTCGCGCATAAAACATTTTGTGTGTGCTGTGCTCACCACGAGCATCGAGCATTAGAATTATAAAACTTCAAACTTACCACTGAGCCACTGGAGAAGCCCCGCTCTCAGTCATGTTTACTTGATAATTATCGCTCAAAAACTTCACCTACTTAAAAAAATATTTTTTCTGCAAATTATGTATTTTTTAGGTGGCAGTAAATGTAAAAGTAAAAAGAACTTCAGCATAAAATTTCAGTTGTTCAAATATGTGAGAACTTTATATGAAGGGTTTGTTTTCGAGTTCTCGCTCGAAGCTACACAAAAAAACTATCTAAGCATATCTGCCCCTTATTTTTCAACTCATGTGGTGTCCTCAGAAAAAGTGATTGCTCTAAGATTTTACATTAGGTACATTAATAAGAGCAAAGACAAATAGGAAACTTATTTATCTGAGTCTGAAAACTTGAAGAAACTTTAAGTTATCTGAAAAATAAACAGAGGGAACGCGTTTTAAGGACAGTAAAAACAATTTTTACTACAGACAAAACAAAAACGAACCTACGTACACATGTTGACGATTGCTCTACTGGATCAATTACTAGAATTTCAGCTTTTCTTCTTTCGAGTTGAATCTCGACAGAATCAGTGACGATGAAAGCCAAATAGAACTCCTCTTAAAACAAGGTTTTGGGGCTGGCACTAAACCTTGATTTCTTTGCCTTGCGATGGCATTACAATGTGACCAATCGCTTTCT